CTGTCTTTGTATTCATTCAGTTTGATTGATTGATTATGATAGTTAGGTGGATAGAGCATATTTGTATACTGGTGTGCTCAAGTGTGTTTGTGTTGTTGTACATATGTGTGTGCGTGCGTGAATTAAGCATTCACTTAGTCTACCATTACCCTTAAGACTATGTAAGTAGCTGGCTGTATTGCTATTTTCATGATGATTATTTAAAATTTATTGATTATACAATCGAATTATATTGTGTGTGTTGTATTATGCACCTATGCTCGCGAGTGTGTGTGCGTGTGTGTGTGTTGGTATGCGCCTCAAGTATGTACACACACCCACGCTCACACACATACACATATTTGTGTGATTTTATGTGAAGTAGCAGAATACAGCATTCATTATAACACCTACAGTATTATTTTTTATTATTATTATCATTGGAAAAAAATAATCTTGGCACATTATTTGCACCAACAATAAGTGGGACGAGAAACTCTCGGAATGAACCAATGAAGAACCTAGATATGATAGAGAAGATTTGTAGCTCAGGTGGATGATATTTTGATATGGGATCGCCAATATCTCAGGTGCAATTGCAGAAGCAGTGATGCAAAGGCTCGAAAACATAATTCTACCAAAGATCAAACCCAAGATTTGGATACGCTACGTAGACGACACATTTGTAATTATCAAAAAAAACGAGTTAGATAAAGCTCACAACCTGATAAACAACGTCTTCAATGACATCAAATTCACAAGAGAAGAGGAATCAGGGGACCAAATTCCATTTTTGGACGTCTTAGTCAAGCCAACAACTATAGAAAATCAACTCACACAGACCAAATCCTGAATTACAACAGCAACAATCCAATAGCACACTGAAGGAATTGCGTACAAACACTATTCAAGAGGGCCAGGACTCATTTCAGCACTCCCAACTTAAGGAAAATTGAAGAAAAATATCTCATGGACGTCTTCCGAAACAATGAATGGATATCCACGGAATTTCATCAAAAGACATATACCCTCAAGCCAACCTATCAAACCAAAAGCCCCCAAGGAAAGCACAAAGAGAATCGCCTTACCATACATAAAGGACATCTCAGAAATCACAACAAGACTTTTCTAACCTTTAGAAATTGATGTGGCACACAAACCAACAAAATCACTTCACTCACTTCTATGTCAACCAAAAGACTCAACAGCGAAAGAAGATGAAACCAACATCATCTACAAAATAAATTGTAACAACTGCGAAAAACACTACATTGACCAAAGTGGACTACCTCCCCTTCGTCTTCGTATCCACGAACATAAGCTAGCCGTCAAAAGACATGACATTCACTCCCTGACCCTCATATCACTACATACAGACAACCACGGACATCAATTCGACTGGGATAACCAACGTTCAAAAATTAGACAGAAGAAACAATGAGAATGCTAGAGAATTTTTAGAAGCTTGGCATTCCAGTGAATCATCAATCAATAGACACATCGAGATAGACAAAATTTATCAACCGATAAGAAAGAAACCTCACACACAAAGGGTCAAAGTCCAAGTCAAAGAAACAATCAGTTCCAATACAAGTAGCCTAGAAGGTGTGAAAACACACACAAAAACAACCAATCACGTCCAAGGTCACACCAGGAGAGATGATTAATAAACTCGTGGAGAAATCTGAAAGCTCACTTCAAATTGAAGTATGCGCTGAAGATGTTGCCTAGTAGGGCGATGAAAGCTTCGCAAATTAACTATTCAGCTCAAAATGAAGAACCTGCCTACTGCTCAACAAATGTACCAAAGAAAATGCAGACACATGTTTAGGAAATCGTCGGATGACATTGCGTGCCAGGCAAGCTATCGCTTGAGTGGAACTCCATTTGGGAAACAACGAGTTAGGCGTGGCGCATCCCCGAGGCTGACATGGAGGAGATCGTTTGAGGAGTAAGAGATGAAGGGCCAATAAAGGGGATCAAAAAGAGTAGGCAGAAGTGTAGATGTGCTGTTAAGCCCTATGTTCCACTCGAAACCCTAGGGAACAATAGGAATAAAGAGATTTAGAGATAGAATCAATGATGGAGGTCATTCAGAAAGAGAGAAAGAATGTTCTGGTTAAGATTATTCAACATCCAGCATTTCATGTTAGTTTGAGAAAGGGAAGAAAAGAGGAAATTACAGCATGTTCGCCATTGATTGTGATTCTTAGCCATATTGGAGGTCGTCTTGAGCTACTGATTCGAACTAACTCTCGAACTCCAGCTCGAGAGTGTCAAATCGTAGGCTGAACCTACCACCTGTCTGTGTTTTTTTCCACTCAGTCGCCTACTGTTCATTCCAAGATATGCCTTTTTCCTGCCATTCGTCCCTATATATACATATCAGTGTATTTTGTTTTGCTAACTTTCTCGGAGCTTGAGACGGGGAAGAAGGCCTAATTGCAAAGCTTTCATTACCTCCTTCTAGACAACATCATTTCAGAGCCATAATAGGATCTCTTAACAGCCTTTCTCATGATTGGTTGTTAACTTGGATCTATACTGATCGTTCTGATTGACTTAGTATGTGACTTTTTCTTATCATACAGCTTACTATTTGTTAGCTGGTAAATATAATTGATTCATCATAATATTGAAGGATTTCATCATGAGCTGACATCAGTTAGAGAACCATTGGAAAACCAGCTGAGAGTACTGGACAGCTGTTTTGTCCCTAAAGAACCAATACTTGAAAATTAATCTGATGCTCACTAGCGACTGGTCCTATATTCAGGCAGTTAACCTAGGATTTTAGTGAGAAGCCGTGACCAGTAGGGTGCAGTAGGTCGAAGGTGAGGCAGGCAGTAACTCATCGAAGAAGACATTGCGAAGTGGTCACGCTATGTCATGCATGAATTAGCAGAAGTTAGACTTCATGGGATGGCCATTGGATTGGCGGGTCACAGCTACGAGCTCGCTAGCTAGCCTTATGAACAGAAGGTCCTGGGTTCGAACCTCCTGTGGTGAGTGCGTACTACTGATGATTCCCAAACTAGGACGGAGGAAACAGCTGTCCAGTAGTACTCCAGTGCTGGTTTTCACTGGTTCTCTAACTGATATCAATCTGTAGTCAAACTCGTTAATAGATACAACTGTCGTTTAAGTAGAGCGGGCTGGGGAAACAATTAGCTGTTGTATAATCTTGTTGGCGTAGTTAAGCGATAGTCATTATCAGTGCGTCTGCATCCAGCTTGATGTCCCTATTTCAGTCTCGATGTATTGAGAAATATAATAAACTGATATCAATCTGTGATGCCAAATTTGAGGCGAAACAATTCCCTGCAATCTAATGCTTGAAAATAATCACTGCAATAATCACTTCATATAACTTTATTCTTTTCTGTTCAGGTTTTTATCTCTCTTTCCCCCTCTGTCTCTCTCGTTCTCTTTGTCTTCTAACTGTTCACCTTACAATGAAAAGAAGAACTGGCATTTTGTTTATCATCGGTTCTTTGTGCTTCATTGTGTATTTTATTATGTGCTTTGTGAGAGTAAAATGGGGTGTGCAAAATGTCCGGAGGTAGGGCAAGAGTCAGAGATTATGTTGTTCTATGGTAATTTCAAAGTTTGTAATGACTGCCTTACTGTTGACTACCTTTTTGTTTTTCCTATTCATGTCGCCCATCAGGATTTTGATATCGCTCTTTGGGACGTTGTCCATTACTGTTTGTAGTTGACTGTAGAAATCCTCCTTCTTCTCATGTTCTGAGGCGTTTGTAGGCGCGTAGCACTGAATGATTGTAACCTTCTTTCCTTTTGAGTTGAACCTGGCTGTCATTATCCTGGAGGAGATTGGTTCCCACTGCATGAGAGCTTTAGCCGCTGTTGGTGACATCATGATGGCTACTCCCTCGGTGTGCTCGTGATTGTCCTCTGGGTGACCGGAGTAGATTATTGTCTCTCCAGTTGATAGTTGGCTCCTTCCACATCCGTTCCATCTGCTCTCGCAGATTCCCAACACTTCTATTCTATATCTCCTCATTTCTGCGGCTACCTGAGCAGCCTTCCCAGCTTCGTACATTGTACGAACATTCCACGTCCCCATCCTTATTTTCGCTTTCATCGAAAGAAGGCACATCGGCTGACTGGCTTCCCGAAGGCTTTCACCAGCCCGCGTCATTTCACTTCCCCGATTCCAGCGAAAAATAAGGTCACTATTTGTAATTTTAGAATTTTGAATATATTTGTGCGTTGAAGTTTTAGTAGCAATTTGGTTAAGTTTTGGGGGTGGAGTTGCTAGCACCACGCCCCAACCCTCCCTCTTTATCCGGGCTTGGGACCGGCTAGAATACTAGTGACCTAGTAATCTAGGCGAGGTTTGTTTTTCCTATGCATATTCCTTATTTATCATTTTCATCGAAATTGAATTTCAGTGCAATAAATAAAGATTAGAAAATCTAAACTTTTGATATGTACAACAGAATAACTGATTTTTCTTTGAGGATATGATGTTGACACTAGATACTAACTACTGCCCAATCAAAGTATCATGTAGGATCCTACAGGAGATCAATCACGAGCCCGAATAGCTCAGTGGTAACGTCACAGACTGCAGAACTGGGTGACACTGGTTCTAATCTAAGAATGGACATGAGTTTGTTTCTTCAAGGTTTCAGACAGGCCGTGGTGACTGATTAGTGACTACCAACAAGCACAAAACCTAGGTCGAAGCCTTCCTGTGGTCGATTGCCTCCACAACCATCTAATATCAAGAGTAATGAAGTTTTCAATTGACTAACTATTGTTGCCAATAATCAGCGTATCATACCTTCCATTTCTTTCTCCGATTTCGAGATAAATACATCTACTAACAAGGAGCCTAAGAGAGAGCTCCCCATTACAATACCAACCAAATTGTTTGTATACTTTTTTCTTGGAAAACGCGTTGGATGTGTTTTTGTGTACCTCTCAAGAGAATTCCCTGTAATGTCATCGCTTTAATTCTTTTTTTTGTAATTTTTTTTATAAATCTATTTTAGGATAATAATTTAGTCCGGCATTTAGATGCCTGTGAAACAATGGGTAATGCAACAGCCATCTGTTCTGATAAAACCGGCACATTGACAACGAATCGAATGACAGCAGTACAATGCTTTATTGCCAATAAACACTATAAACGTATACCGACAGCTTCAGAACTACCTGAAGGAGTTATCAATACAATTGTGATGAATATATCAATTAATAGTGGGTATACATCGAAAATTTTAGTAAGTTGAAAACGATATTTTCTGTTTTCTTTTCTTTATTTTTGTGTGTGAGTGTGTGTGTGTGTGTGAAAATTCTGTGTAAACCTTCCAGTGCCCGTTTTAATAATGGCCAAAATAAATTTGTCTGAAGCAAGAACAACGGCGGTGCGTCGGTGGCATAGCGGTTAGGACGCTCGCCGACCATGCACATGGTCCGGGGTTCGATCCCCGGCCGACGCACTCCTTTACCTCGCTAAGCCAGAAATAATGCTGGTAAAGAGGAAAAGTTGGGCATGAGGCTAGCGACCTCGTCCTGTAAAAATAAACACTGCTACAGAAACTTCAAGCCACTAGCTTGATGCCCTATGTTCCACTGAGGAACGTGTAGGAAAAAAAAGAACAACGGCGTGTTTTTTTGTCTGTTCACAATAAGATGTTGCCATCATTGTTTATTTTGTTGGCTCCTCATCAGCTGCTTGCATACAGCCTAAAGAAATTGAATTAAGTTTATGTACAGAATAATTTTCACATACCTGCAAGTGTTACATTGATGTCAGTTAATGACAGGAGGTACCAAATTTAATGAACAGTCCTCCTAAAATCACAATTAGGTGTGCTTTTTGTCCTAGTTTGGGACTCTTCATCAGTACGCACCCACCGGCGTTCGAGCCCAGGACCTTCTGGTTACAAGGCGAGCTCGTAGACCAATGAGCCACTGGGACCCGATCCAATGGTCCTTGAATTATATCTTCTGCCAATTCACGACATGACGCGACCATTTCGCAATGTCTTCTTTGATGGGTTACCGCCTCATCTTCAACCTGTTGAAGAGTTCCAAACTGGGACGAAACAGCTGTCCAGTACTCCCAGGTTTTTCAGTGGTTCTCTAACTGACGTCAGCTCATGATGAAATCCTCCATGCAATCAAACAAAATTCCTACAAAATCAATAAATGTGTTTTTACCTAGAGAAGTCAAGTTTAGACAAATATGTATAATAATGTGAGCAATAGTGAGGTTAGGCCCAGGTTGAGTGCTGGAAAAAGAGGAGAACTCAGTCGATGAGGTTGTGAAGTTATATGGTTAGGACATGTGTTGCGCATGCCCAGCCATCACCTTCCTCGATAGCGGGCAGTGTTAGCTGGCATAGGATGGATCAGATTGGAATTCATTGGATAGCCATTGGATTAGTGAGTCCCAGTGGCTTAATGGTCTACCAGCTCGCTAGCCTTGTAACCAAGAAGGCCCTGGGTCCGAACCCCTTTTGGGGAGTGCATACTGATGAAAAGTCCCGAACTAGGGAGACGAAACAGTTGTCTACCAGTCTCTGTTGGTTTTCCAATGGTTTTTCTAACTGATGTCAGCTGATGATGAAATCCTCCAACCAATTTTAAATTTGTCAGGTTTGACGACGAAACTGACTTTCTTCAGTTAGAAAACAATTGAAAATAATAAAAACAGCCGACGAGTAGTCAGTCAACAATTGTTTCGTCCTAGCATAACACTAATCAGCAGTACGTATGGTCATGACTCTATCTACCAGGAAACGAATTCAGGACTTTCAGATTACAAGGGGAGTTTGATTACCATTAAGCCAGCCAGTGAGACAGAAAACAATGTCCGCCGGCACATGAATTCTAATGCCTTCTGGTTAGTTCAATGCATAACCAAATTGTAACTACGAGGTGGGGGATAAGGGGTTGGATGAAGATTGTTAAGTATTGACAAGAGTTGCGTAATATGAAAGACACCCAGAAAGGTAGGATGTTAATGAAAAGGCATGAAGATAAGTGTCCAAGACAAGTAGGAAAATCATACTTGAAAATGGCTATCCACCACGCTCTATAGATAAAGACATAAATCCGAAAATCAATAAAAAACAACCCATCTCTGTGCTGAATAAGATGCTATACATGAATGTGGAGTTCAAAGGCTACCTTCTAACCGATATCCTAAAGAGAAGAATATCCAACGCCCTGAAAAGAATATCTTCTACTGCTACACTTACGTTTGGTATTCTCAAACTACCGATTGTTCTTCAACAACTCCAAAGATAAACTATCTCATTTGGCGACTTCTCTGTGTGTATTCGCCAATTTACTTGCCTATGTGGAGCGAGATGTTTAAGTTGTTCGATGCGTGTTTTATCTAAGAGAATCAAGGAACCTTATCCTTTACTTACTTTACTTTACTTCGGCTATCTCCTACGGGAGGATGAGCCGGCTTCATGAACATCTCGAATAGAGTCTCATACATTTGTTCCCCTTAATGAATTTAAACAAAGCAACAACTACAGATTTTGCAGAATAAAATGGTACCATATTTTATTTCGTCGCCTTCTCTTCAGATGCTTACAGGGCAAAAACATTAATAAATGTATCTACAATAACAATTTAACATACTTACACAGAGTTCATTTTAAACAGAAATCAGTCGATCAATATACACATACACTAATAATATATACACATATATATGCAATATTAGGCACCATTCCGAACAATAATAATCATACAAAATGAAAACTTTTTAGTATCTCGCATTAGGATGAAAAATATCCAGTTACCAGGGCAAAGAAAGACTGATAACTGCTTCTTTCTGAACGCACAAATCAGGTTTTAGGCGCTTGATGGAAAAGGCTTCAGCAAACTTAAGGAGCATTGAACTCTTTTGCTTATTGATAATTTTGAATGACTTTTCCACGTCCACCTCATGACCCGTGTCAAGAAGATGCCTGGCGATGGCACTGCCTAAAGCATTTGTTCCCTTTAGACGTAAGCTTTTTGGTACATGTTCAGAAAGTGGTAGATATGCCCTTCTTTCTGTTCTTCCAATGTAACTGCTCCCGGAGATACATGTAAATTTGTATATACAGTTGGAGTTAACATGAGAAGGATATCCATCGATTTTTGATTGCACCAGAGAGCAAGTTGTTCGAAAGACAGGAACGAGCTTAGCTGCAGGATAGGCTATGGCTAATGATGTACTCAGCCTTCTGTTGATCATCGCTGCAATGTTTTCGCCTTTATAATCAAGCTCAAAGTAGATTGGCTTTTTCCTTACTGTGATTAGTTTTTCATTTGCGAATAGAGTCATTTGTAAGAGAGTTCATGAAGTTTCATGGGAATTCGGTACGAGTGATGTCCCCAGAATCGCTCGGCCTTTTGTTTGAGAGTGCAGCTCTAGCCTTTACACAACCAAGTGTGACCTAGAAGGCAGTAGGAGTGGAGTGGGGAGTCCACTATCCATTGGCAGCCGGTGACCGGAGTTCGGTTCATACGCCTTTTTGAATGGGGCCAGACATCCAGGACATCCAACAAGCCTTTTGTCCATACGTCTGCCGGTGAGCTCCAGTGAGCTTCATACGCCAGTCGTTGGAGGTTTGGAATCAGGGTTTAGCCATCTCCCCTAGACTGTCATCCAATGGACAGTCAACCCGGTGAAGAGCGCCGGGCATCCGCTTTCGCCCTCTCACTTTGGTGAGAAACACCTCCGCCACGTGAAGGCAGTGAGTAGGACTTCCTCAGGAGAGGCTATGTAAGACGCTCAGTCATATGGGAGCATTTCGAGAGGTGTGCGGAGGGGTGGCCAACCCGCCGCGCAAGGCACCCACCCCCGCACCATCCTGAGACCATCCTGCTCGCCTACGAAAAGGTAACCGTGGATCAGTAAGGAGTCTTATAATTGAACCTATGTTTAAACACTGTTCACTAAATATGTAAGGAGAATTCGTCATTCAAAGTCATCTAAAAAGTCAAATAAAGCCTCTCGTTGAAAACGATAAGCTTCAGTATACTTTGCATTACTGAAGCCTTAGAGATCTGGATAGAAAACCCTGATTTACGTACACACACAGAAGAAACTTCTCCACCCCATCCTTCTGCCTTGGGTATAATTCCAAGTTCTACTTTGGTGGTGTGATACGGATAATGTGTTTCAATGGACTATAGTATTCTCACATATTCCAACAGTGCAATACAGTATTGGCAACAGAATACGGTATATCTATTTGAACATTCTATTTCGTGTCGTTTAATGTAAACCAAAATCACACGCTTAGTGATTGGTTAAAGAATATAAACTGTATAGATATAAATAACTGTTTTATCACTTGAAGAAAATATGCCTTGGCTTCCGTGTCTTGCCTTCTGCTATTACACTGCTACTTTGTTGATAATACTTCTAAAAAAAAATTTCGTATGACTTTTTAGTAACATCGTTTTCTTAACCAACCCTTTATTTGCACTTTCTACCTCTGCGTAATTTATTTTGGACACGTGTCTCCATACACAACTCTTGTCAATACTTACAAATCTTCCCCCAACCCTCCATAGTTACAGTTTGTTTATTCATCACATTTTTGAAGCATCTTGATAACATAAGGCACGGCATTATTCTCCTATCCATCCCAAGCAAAATACTTAGCTGCATAATCCTTGAGAGAATCAAACACGCCACCCTGGATGCAAAACGTCGACCGGAACAGGCTGGATTCAGGAGGAACAAGTCATGTGTCGATCAAATCGCAACACTACTCATCATTACTGAACAGAGCTTGGAATGGCAGTCAGCTCTCTATCTCAACTTCATTGACTTTGAAAATGCCTTCAACAGCGTCGATCGAGATATGATTTGGAAACTACTTTGCTACTACCAAGGGGTGCTGCCGACCATAATTCATCTCATCCATCACTTATACGACAATGCCGCGTACCAAGTAATCCACAACGGGAAACTCACTGAATCCTTCGAAGTGAAGACGGGAGTAAGACAAGGCTGGCTGGCTGCATACTATCTCCAATGATTTTCCTGATTGCGGGAGACTGGATAATGCGACAGATAGCGAACAACGAGGAGACAGGTATAAAATGGACACATCCAAAATTTTGGAGGATCTGAATTTCGCCGATGATATGTGTCTGATTTCCCACAAACTTGAATATATGGAAGTGAAAGGCAACAAGTTGGCAGAAGAGGCATCCAGAGAAGACAGAGGTGACAAAGATTCCTGACTAACAGCAACAGCGATAACAACAAGAACAGACAACAATCAGCATAAATGAGAGGAGTCTGAAAAAAGCAACCTCCTTTACCTACCTACCTTGGAAGTATAGTTTCAACTACAGGTGGACGGAACTGATGAGGCTACCGAAGCGAAGATAGGGAAAGCCAGGCAACCTTTCATTTCTCTCAAGTCTGTGTGGTAATCAACAGCACTCAGCATGAAAAATAAGATGCAGATTTTCAACTCCAGTTTGAAGTCAGTCGATGCTATAATAGGGATCAGAGACTTGGTGCGTCCTGAAGAGCACCTCAAGCAAACTACAGACCTTCATCAACAGCTGTCTTCGCTCAATACTACTCAAGATCAGATGGCTGGCCAGAAAAGATGAGCAGCAGAGAGGGATCTCTGGGAGCGAACCAACCCAACAGGAACCGATTGTGCAACAAATATGCCGGAAGAAACGCAGGTGGTGGATTCGCCATACTCTGAGAAAACCGTCAAGTGACATCACACGTCAGGCCATCGCTCGAGTGGAAGCCGGCCGAATGGGAAGCGGCTAGTTATTCGTCAGTGCGAGGGTGACATGGAGGCGGAGGTGGTGTGAAGAGGAGATGAAAGCATGTGGGCAGATGTGGAGTCAGATGAAAACGTTGGGAGAGATGCGAACGCAATGGAAACGTGCGACTGAAGCCATATGTTCCTCTAGGAACTAGAGGAAACGATAATAATAATAACAAATAGTAATTAATGACGTAAGCTATAACTAATTTTTACTTTTGTATGACAATCCCAATGTATTTGCTTTGTAGGGAATTTTGTTTGATTGGTTGGGGGATTTTATCATAAGCTGACATCTGTTAGAGAACTATTGGAAAACTCGGGAGAACTGGACAGCTGTTTCGCCCCATTTTGGGACCGATCAGCAATACGCACCCACCACAGGAGGCTCGAACCCAGGACCCTCCGGTTACAAGGCGAGCTCCTAGACCGATGGCTTAATGGTCTACGAGGTCACCTTTTTATGTCTTGTTTTTATATTCATGTCAGTGATATTTATCACAGAATTATTGTTTTATCTTAAGTTGAATAGTATATTCTTTAATTTTTTCATGTATATTATTATATAATTCGACTTTCTCTTTCTTGTATTCATTTAGCCTCCAGACAGTGCAGGTGGTTTACCAAAACAAGTTGGCAATAAAACAGAGTGTGCTTTATTAGGCTTTGTTAAATCAATTGGACGTAGTTATGAAGACATAAGAGCACAATGGAGTGAAGAACGCCTATATAAAGTGTATACATTCAATTCTGCACGAAAATCAATGAGTACTGTTATTAAAGAATCTGATAACCCCTTATCATTTATATTATTCAATAAAGGTGCTTCTGAAATGGTTGTAAAATGGTAAGTTATTGATTTTATTCTCCCTATCTATTGATTTTTTTTGTTTATTGAAGGATAATTTCTGCAGCATAATACATATAGTCTAGAAGAAGTCTGAATTTTGCGTGTGAATGGTTATATGTTTAATGTCACACAAACTCGAAGACTTAGAGGCAGGTGAAAACCAAACAAACTGGCTGACAGTGAAGACAGGACTCCAGGTGAACATTGAGAAGACGGAGGTGATGAAGATAACCAACGAACCGCAACAACAGCGGGGTAGATTTAACAGAGTTTGCCTCCTTCAATTATCTGGCTAGGAAGCATGGTTTCAACCACATACAGTCGGAACGCATGAAGATGTCAGAGCCATCCAGTGGTGATCGGAAAGGCAAGATACACCTTCATCAACCTGAAATCAGTTTGGAAATCTTCTGCATTAACTCAGCATAAAGAACAAGATTCGTTCGGATTCTGTTCAACACAAATGTGAAATCAGTCAGTTAGTTAGTTCTTCTATACGGGTCAGAAACTTGCACTGCGCGTGCGTCACGAAAAGGATTTCCAACAGGCCACTTCAGACTTTCATCAACAGCTGTCTCCTTCTCTGGTCGACTCCATACTGAAGACCAAATGGCCAGAAGGAATAAGTAACAGAAACTCTGGGAAGAAACCAATGAAGAGGCGATCGCTCAACAAACTTGGAGGAGAAAATGTAGATGGATGGATCGGGCATACATTGAGGAAACCCTCGAATAACGTCGCGCTTAATGCAGGTCATAGCTGGAGTGGAATCTGGATGAGAAGTGACGAGTGTGTCGTCGGTGTGAGAGTGATATGGAGGATATCGTGTGTCGAGGAGGAAGAGATGAGACAGTTTGAGCAATCGTGGACCCAGCTGAAAGGGACGGCAGAAAACAGAAAAAAGTGGGGATGTATTGTTGAAGCCCTATGTTCCACTCGGAACCCTAGGGAACAATAATAATACGTAGTCTACAAAGTTTTTCTTTTGAATCTCTCCTTACTCTCTTCTCTTGCTTTGTGTGGTACATTGAGGGAGTGTGGCAAGTTGAACTGGTGCACACCTGTGCAAAGTTCTATGTTGAAACCAGTCAGTCAGTGCGATTCGTGCCGGGGAACCAGTATCTGAAAGTCACTGTATACTTAAGATATTTAGAAGGATCTGGTGTAGATAAGTAGATTATTAAGTGTCCTAGTTAGTGATTAGTTGTTTAATAGAAGCATTAGTTTCATAACCGGTTTCTGTAGTCTTGAAAAGATGTCCGTTTACGATACTAACTAATTTATTCTCCTCATGAAACCAGCCGACTTGAAGAAAAAGTTCAACAGAGAAAGTGTAATTGTAACTATTCCAACTTTACTAACAGTTTTCTGATAAGAAAATCATTCATAGCCAAGGAGTACTGGATAGTCGTTTCGGTCCAGTTTACGACTCTTCAAGATTATGCATGGATGAGCCTACCGACAGCCCGTCGACTATTCAGATAATGGTGGCACAGCGGTTAGGACGCTCGCCGATCATGCACATGGTCCGGGGTTCGATCCCCGGCCAACGCACACTCGATATCAATGGTTGCCTGCAAAATTTGGGCTACCGATATCACATGCTGAAAACTCCATACTTGTATCAAAAATACTGTGTGGAGTCAAGCTCTAATAAAATAAAAAAATACATGAACTCTAGCTTCTTCCAGTCCACCGTATATTTAACGGCTGAGCAGAACAGTGTTTGGCAAGGGAGATATTTATTGGTAACTCTATATATATATATATGGGCAAAATACACGGGGTCAGGATATACACTATCGAAAATCAAACTTGCCACACTTTCGTTTCAGTGTACTTTTATATATATGCGATACAGGTGGTCAGTTACGGTGTGACTTTCATCAGGTAGTTGGTCTTGTATTATATTTTTACCGGGTGGGGTTGCTAGACTCTTTCCCACCCTTCCCTCTATACCGACCTTAATACCGAGCTTAGCAAGTTTAGGAGTGAGTCAGCCGACGATCGAACCTCGGACGACATGAGTGGTCGGCGAACGTTCTATCGCTAAACAACCGGTGCACACTACTGCTCCACTGGGAACGCGAAAGAATAAAGTAATAAAAATCATTGGTTTTAGGATGTGTACCGATGAAGAGTCCTAAACTTGGACAAAACACCTGTACGGTACTCCTCGCTGATTTTCCAATGGTTTTCTAACTGATGTCAGCTGATGATGAAATCCTCCAACCAATGAAACAATAATCCCTACAGAACCAATACTTGCTAATGAAAACCAGTTGATCGTATACTACAAACATAGACGAACAGATATTACGTTTAGCTGTTTTAGAGGTGTTCAATCATCTTTCTTACACAGATAGAATATCTATTGTGACTTTCTGTATATCTTGCACGAAAACATCTTGCAGTAGCCTTTATCCTCACTCCAAAATTCATCTAATATACATATGTAACAATTACAATTTGCACATATCTTACATATGGTGCTAACTTTGTCTTCCTTTCATGTTTTCTATGTTTTGTTTCAAAAGCAAAGTTCATTTCTTATTCTCTTTGTCATTCAATTCATCTCCCCAATATTCGATGTTCTTGCGGATGATATATATATATTTTATATCTGTATTTATATATTACTTATAAATTGTATCAGTAGTACACACCGCATACATAGAGCTTTAAAGCTAACCAAGTATTTTGAAAAACAAACACAAAATCAAGTGAATGCCTACAGAATTTACACAACAATTGAAAAATTAAATTAAATAAGGCAAAAAAAATTTGAAATTAATTCAAGTAGGTACTTCAAAAAGTCAAAAACAATTAAGAGTTTATCGATTTTTTCCCCTAGAGATAATGAAATCTGCATCCAGTTTTGAAGATACACACAGTGTTTAAATCGGTCAGTCTTTATAAGATAGGCATAGAGATGAATGAATGGAATTCAACTTGCATTCATTCATGATTACGAGGAGGTAGCTCATTTCATGTGTGTTGTGTCTAGCCCCTGGTCTTGATGCTAACGCAACTGTGAACTTCGCAATTCAGTGACCAAGCATGCTGACTCACTATCACGAAGCACTTTATATTGCTATTCGATTGTTGAAGGTCATCATCAGGATGCCTTGAATATATAAACTCCTTGATGACTCTAACCTAAATCACTCGGTGGTGCAATCAGAGACATTATCACCGCTGTGCTATTTGGCCTCATGATTAACCTCCTGTGGGACAGTAATAGTTACATTCATTGGTCATAAGGGAATGACCAATAACGCTATGTGCCCGGTATCATCTCCTGTCTAGTGTTCAGTCAATTTATCTATTACAGTTCTGTGGAAGGTAAATCATAAGCCTCATATACCTCGGTGCTAACAATCCTGAATGCAACAAGTGAATGATATAGATTCGAATTTCACTTGGGACATCAGTTCCTTCAAAGTTATACAGATACAAGTATTGGTTTTGTAGGGATTTGGTTTGATTGCATGGAGGGTTTCATCATGAGCTGACATCAGTTAGAGAACCACTGGAACCACTGGTCCTGGGTTCGAATCCCGTTGGGTACGTACTGCTGAAGAGTCCCAAACTAGGACGAAACAGCTGTCCAGTACTCCCAGCTGGTTTTCCAGTGGTTCTCTAACTGATGTCAGCTCATGATGAAACCCTCCATGCAATTATACAGATACCTTATTGACAGGTGCCAACAAGAACAAAGGGCTTCTTAGCGGTTGCCTTTCGACCATCTACGAGGAATTCAACTCAGTCTAAAAAGCCGGCAACGAAAGCACTCAGTCTAGCAGCCAATGGTATACAATCTGATTGATAAACACACTCACTCATAAAATGTCAAAGCGACTACTCAGTGAGGAGGGAAGACTTTAGCTACTCAACATTTGCATTCTGCACTAACTGTTGATTTCTGCTGGACTGTAATGCCCGATGTCAGTTGACTCTTTAACTTCTAGTGTAGTGAGAGAGCCGGCTACAAGCCAAGAATTGTAGACAACAATTTACGTCAATATCACGTCCCGAATTAGAGTCATGAGAAAAACAATAACAAAGTTTAACCTTTAGGAACTCACCAACCAATCACAGCAAACTTGAAGTGTGCAAACAGGATTCGCAGATATATGACTTAACTTTCTGAGAAACAGTCACAAGCACTACAGAATAACCTTCAGTGAGAAAACAACCAATCAGAAGACGTTGCTTCTTCGCTAACAATTATGTACATAAAAATCTATAAATATCTGTTGATTTTCTCAATAAGCGATCTGCTGCCTGACCCTTGTCTTCTGTCGTTACACTAGTAAAGCCGCCTTGATGCTGTCCGAGGATCAACATGATTTTGTTTCGTGGATGGATGGTAGTACTGATTAACAGTGGAATCGAGAATGAGAATTTCGTGCAATTTCGAGCTCGTCAGCTGAATGTTTGCAAATTCCTAGTCAGCGGGAAATACAAAATCAACTGACACTTGTTGCATAAAAGTTGTGACCCGAGTGGCCTAGTGGACAACACTTCAGCGTTTGAAATGGTTATTTCACGGCTAGAATCTCGGAGCGAATGGCACCGCTCACTATGACACGAATTAATCCTTCTGTTTCATTTGAGCTTTCAATAATCACCTTTATAATTGTTGTTGACTGACATTATATACTGAGCTTCAGTTCTTCATGTAAATTCAGCTGGTATTGGATATTGGATAGAGTTTGCGATAAAATTATCGAAATAGGTAGAATTTGAGGTGTGTGTGTAGATGTTGATAGCTTGGTGTGCGTAACACATACCCTGAAGGTATCTGAATAACTGACTCAGTTTCAACATAGAACTTTGCACAGAAATACAGATGTTTCAGCTGCCACACTCTGTGTAGCACACAAAGGAAGGACAAATGAGAGAGGAAAACAGAAATGTGAGGGAAAAAGAACAGTAATATGGAAAAAGCATTAGGGTTTCAATGGATATCGCAGATCACAAAGAGTGAGTGC